ACTATTTTCTTTGATTAATGGGATACTCATACCATCTATTACAATTCTAGCATAGCTGTCATAGGTTTTGGGAGAATCTCCAAAGCTAATTTTTGCTTTACGCATCTATAACCATTCTTGTCCCAGAACCAAATCAAACGATAGATTTTTGCAAATTTGAAAGTCTATTACTTCGGTATCATCTAAACTTCGCCACTTTCCTTTATAGAAAAATTGCAAATCTAAACATTTTATTTCACCTATTACATCCCTATAGAGATTCTCAACAGGATCACGTATTCCATAATCTTATCGAAAAAGCTCTTGCTAATGGTATTAAACTTTGATGATGTATCAATTAATGCTTTTACTGGGATTTTCCCCTCTACGAGTGTATTTACGAACATATTAAGTATATTTAATAATGTATATTACCACGAAAAAATAACTCAGTAAATAATTACTCATTCTTCAGTAATAAATGTAATTATTTATAACTCGCGTTGGAGAATTCTCTCTGAGATAATTAACAATTGCAGAAATAAGATCTGTTTCATCTGATATATGACTCAAATAGTAGTCTCTAAAGGATCTGGTTATAGCTATCCCATTTTGTCTACTGGTAAAGATTGGAATAAGTGAAGGTAAATCAGAATCGGAGAATTCAACATCGGAATAATCTGGATGTTCGATTTTAATTTTTGGATTGAGTTTTTTCAGCACTTCATTACTAATCCTTCTACACCCCTTCAAACTAAGATATTTCAAATTAGTACAGTTGCTGGCTATCTTCTCGATAGCTTCATTACCAATCAAGCAATCACCAAGCTCAAGATGTCTAAGTTTTGAGCATGAGCGAGTAATTTCAGTAATACATCAATTAGTGAGACATATACATGAATTAAGATTCAGATGCTGTAGTTTTGGAGAAAATCTCGCAATTTCTATAATTGGTATATTAGTGAAACCCTTACTTTTATCAAGAATAAGAAAGCGTATATCTGGACATGAGCATAGAATCGCACTAATCAATGCATCTGAGATTTTTAAACCTTCCAATCTGAGATATACTATCTTGGCGCAATAGGTTGGCTTTATTTTTCTACGCATAACTCTTTCAAAGTTTATCAATCACCGAATAAGAACCTGAGATATGTTTAGGGCACGCCGGCTTTGCTGATAATCTTTGTTGAAAAACTCAATGCATTGCCATAGAATAGGAGCACCGCAGTGATACCAAAGATGGTTAACAAATAAAGTGGGATAGAGGGATTGATAGATTTTTAGAAAATATAAGATCTGTTCTAGCAATTCTGGTAAATCAAAAATATTTAGTTGCACTATTCTCAAGAATGTATATTATATATCTTTAATCGAAAAAACAGCTAATGTTCAGATAATTAATTTAGGTGTATTTTTAAATTAGCATTAATAAATAATTTAATATTTACAATGACCGAAGCTGATAGAACCGTAACCCATATTACTAAACAGGTATCGGGTAAAAAAATCTGGATCTGTCTTCACCAATTACTGAAAATAGTGAAACCCAAGATTCAGCAGGATATTATAAACTCAATAGCAAACCCAGATATTTCTTGAAGAAATCATACACTATGCAAGGCTAAAAGAAAAAAAAAATTTTTTAATGATACCGCATCTGGGTCTGACTCTGAATCATCCAGCTACGAAGTAAATATCCTCAGCAACGATAATAAAGATTTTACTGTGAATGTGGTGAAAACCAAAAAGCATGATTAGTAATTGTATAGGTCTATCCATTAGATTGTAACACAGGCAAATTTGCCTGCATATTTTAAAATTTTTAATAAAATTTTAAATATTGATTTTAGCCATA